CTACCATAATGTAGCTAATAAGTGCACCATTAAGCTCTCTATTAAGGTGGAGAATCCTAGGAGCATCTCTATGCTACTAGTCTTCCATGCATGACACATGTGCAGCCTTGTTGTCACCTTGTTGGCGCCATGTCATCGGCCACATGTGACAGGAGCCACCGGTGGGGGTTTCAATTTTTTTTTAATTTAATTGTAATAATTAAAAATTAGAAAATATGTTTAAATTGTGAATATTTTAATAATTTTTATGATGACCGGGCGGTGACATGGCATATTGACCATTAGTCAATGGGTTTGACCGTTGGCCAATGCCATTACTTTGATGTATAGTTTGTGCCAGAACGTTATAGATCGAAAAGATTGGCCAAGATGTTTATTATGGTCAAAGTTCAGGCCATACAAATATATTAATCATTTTCTTAATTACATATATATTACAATATATACATTGACCATAATTCATTGATTTAAGTATCACCAAGACAAAACTTTATTTCTCGGCCAAGAATACCATGTGTGTTGGCTAGATTGGCCACGTTGGTTTATGTACTTTAGAGATGATTGAATATTGATTGAAAAGAAGGGGCAGGAAAGGGTAGCTGGGCTTGGTTCTTCCTCCCCAAATTCACACAATGGTCAAATCAAACGTTCAAGTGGATGGCAGTGGCTCTCCAAAGCTGAAACAGTTGTTGAGTAACATTGGTTTTTTTAGCTATTGTCACAAACCAATGAGTTCTAATAAGTGGATCCACTCAATCGAGTTGTTGAAAAAAAGTTGATTATTAATCTTATATAACTCTCTAATACGCTTTATCAAACGAAAACCAACTCATGTTTTTGAAGATTGTACAAGCCCACCATACTTATGCAATTGTTAACATTGGATGTTGTGGAGATTCGAGCACACAACCACTTGACCAAATAAGTTCTGATACTATGCCACAAACCAGTTAGTTCCATCCAATAACTCGAATTGGTATAAGAAGAAATGGGTAATGGCCTTTTTCATTGTTGTTGGGAAATGATTGGGTGAGGGCAATCTCACTCTCAAATTCTTACTGCCATTGGATTCGCACATAGCTAAATCCTCACCATGTTATCTTATCCTTTTAGGATCATATTCATATGTGTGCTCTGTGGGAGATAGATGTGTTTCATGGTGTCTTTTTTACATATCAAAATCTGGATTATGACCACCCTTCAAGGCATCGATGTGGTGGATGGACTTAGGGAGGAGGTATCATGTCTCACCAAGGAGGGACAATAATTTGGGTTGTTTGGGCCCACAACTTGGGCCTTATGCTCCCTTTCTCATATACTCTCAAGGAACAACGCTCATTCATGGGCTCGTAGAAAGCCTTTGAATAGCTTCTTGATCCATTGTAAAAGGTGGTTTACACTCTTAGTTGTGATTGTTAGAGTTGTGTTTGTTGAATACATGTATTGTGCACAATACAATGTTTGAAAGTGTCAAATTGTAGGTCCCACCAACAATCACAAAAAATGATGCATTATACAATATCAACTAAAAGTTAAGATTGTTGTGATTGTTGCTTTTAGATTTGTGTCAACTTTTTCTTTCCATTTATATCCCTAATAGTTTATGATACTAAAAGTTGAGGGTAAATATGACATTTTCACAATAAAAGTAACTTTATGTAAATCAATGCATAAAGTAGAATCTCAACAACCAAACAATGTATTGTTAAAATGCATCCATTGTATCAATACATGCATTTATATTATGGTGATTTATTACAATGCAACGATTTAACATTCGCAACTTCAAACCACCTCTTAATTTCCTAGTTGTGTCACTTGTGGGAGTCGTCCCTGATCTTTTTATTATCACAATTCCGAAATGGGTGTCTAACACCACTATTGGTCTATCTCTATCTCATAACATTAATCCGACGTGACATGATGTTATTATTTTTAAAATGCGTTGTTTCTAATGAAGGGTGCAATGATTTATACTCTATAGATAATGATACTACTACACTAACAATAAAATCTAGAGCGTGACTATGGTACAACCAAAAAACTAGATCTAAATAATTAAATTTCATATTTTGGTAGTTAGATTTTTTAGTTAATATGATAATATAGCTTAACCTTACAAATAATTCATTCATTTTTATTCACAAATTTATCCTTATAATGATCATTGGATGAATTTTTAAAAATATGTCGATAAAATTTTAGAAATACTTGAAACAGATAAATTGTAAATTTATGTAATTATTGGCATCGGTTTAATACTATAATTACATGCTATACATAATACAAGTACGTAATAATGAAACCATATAACAAAGTATACAAATCATACCAAAAAAATATACAAATTAGATTATAATTAAGCACCAAGATCACTAAGTATACGAACTAATTTACATAGTGTACAAAACGAAATAAAAAAGCATATTAGAAAATATGTAAACCAAATGACTAAGTGTACAAATCAAGTTTATAAGTATACAAACCATATCACAAACTACAAAATCACATGACAAAAGTATAAGAAGTTGAAAACGATCCCATGATTTTTTTCATAAGAAAAACCACATAGTTTACAAACCAAATTATAGTGTTTACAAAATATAACGATACACATTGTTTACAAACTAAATGGAAAAAATATAAAAATTAGTAAGTCTAGAAGAAAATTGCACAAATTAAATATTTGAATGAATTATAGGGGAGCAGACTATTTTGGACAAATTTCAGCCGACACATATTCTTAAGCGATAGTTACGAGACGTTTTCAATTTGTCATAAAATTTTAATGGATTATGTCTTCTTCATTTTAATAAATATTTTTAATTTTTTTTCAGTACAAACATCATATATTTGCTTAGAAAAAATCACATTTTCTCTAGTCTACATGATGGTTGATGACACTCATTTGATATTTTTTGGACAAATTTTTTGCATACACTGATATGATGCTATTGTGAAGCCTTTCTTTATAAGGCGGGTATAGGTTTAATTTTATGGTTAGATACTACTTAAAAGATTCGAACCTATTACCTCCACATTGAAGACCAACAGTAGAACCTCTATACCAAGCTCCTGTTCGCTATAGTATTGTGAAGTTTTACCATAGTGATGAGATGGTATTATGAATTCATACAATATAGATTCTTAACATCGTGTGGTATGATATGCGTATGACACAGTGGTGTGATAATATGAATTATTATTATAAAGTAGATACTACATGATGATATCCATTCAGATATTTTGTGAACGAAAGATTTTCAAGACATCTTACGATACGACTGTACGTGGGCACCGGGCCGTACCGTCCACGGGCTAGCAGAGCACGACACGGTTAGAGCACGACACGAGCACTTGCACGAAATAAATGGGCCAGCCCGACACTAGCACGAATAATTTATGGGTCGTGCCGGGCCTAAACTTCATAGGCACGGGCACGGGCACGACACGGTATATAAGTGGGCCGTGTCGGGCCTAATATTTGAGACTTTATTGAGTATAAGAACGAACATGACACGAAAATAATATTTATTTGATAGAAAATAAATATAAAAAGAATTATAGGTTCAAATATTACAAAGCACAAGTAGAAAAAAAAATATTTTTTGTTGTTAGAAGTGTCATAAAGATATATACGTAATTACTAACATAAGTAAAAATGGATAAAGAATTAAACAAAGCCAAATCACACTCGCTATACTTCCAATTTTCTTTTCCCCTGATTTGTTACTTTTCTCAAACATTATCGATTAATACTATCTTCCTCCGTCCAATTTTCACCTTATTTTTCATTCTCTCTTTTGTTTTCGTCCTTTTCATTAACCACGAATACGAGCATGGCACGAGCACGAATAGGCACGACATGATTCGAACCGTGCCCGGGCTTGGGCTGGGCCTAACAAAGTTAGCAAATGGACTTGCATGGCACGACACAAAAACCGACGGACCGTGCCAAGCAGTGCACGAAATAAATGGGCCCGAAGCGTGCCCGTGCCGTGCCGGCCCAAACACGGCCCAACGCCCATGTACAGATACGACTATCATGTGTTGTCCCTTATCCGTATTACCATAGTTGTAAGATGATGGTTTGACAGTGATAAAAAGACAACAAACACATGTTTTAGGCTCTGCCGCCACTAGTACTATATTATTGGCTTGTCGTTAGGGTTGTTAATAAACCAAGCTATTCACGAACGTCTCGATCTCGAACTCGATAAAAGTTCATTCGATTCAATAAAAGCTCGATTAGTTTATTAACTAGCCGAGCTTGAACTTAACCTTGTTCGGCTCATGAGGCTCGTGAACTAGCTCGATTCGGTGACTTGTTGAGTTCGACTCATGAACTATCTATCTCATTTTTTGAGCTCATGAGATGTCTCACCATTGTAATTAGCGAGCCAACTTGATTACGACTTATGAGAAAATCGATCTATATCTTATGAGTTGGTTTGTTAATGATGCATATATTTATTAAATTGTATATCACACCTCCTGTGATGTTTGATAATTTAAGTATGTGAGCAAATATTTCTCGTATATGACATGAAGATCAGTTAATCACATGTATCGTATAAACATTAGGGTATTTAATTCACAAATTATCTTAGAGTTAAGTTTGAGTCGCAATTTTGCTCTTTATGATGAGCAGATTCAATAGATGAGTTGGCTCGTGTTCTACTCGACTCAGCTCGTTCATAAACATACCGAGCTCGAATTCGACTCGTTTATAATTTATAAACAAACCAAATCTGAACAAGACAAAACTCTATTCGGCTCGACTTATTAACAACCCTACTTGCCATCAATATTTGTTGACTGAGTTGAAACATTTCCAGTCTGTCGACCATTTATTCTCCACTATGGTAGGTTTTTCTTATCACTTAGCTTAGTCAGCTGCTGCAATCCTGATTTTCGTGACTCTCTTATGAAGCATATATGTGGCTATCAACCAATATCATTTTATCCACGATCACGTTGAGAAGGGGCTCTGGATGGGTCACCCTGTTGCCTTGCCTCCTCTTCTTAGTTCGCTAATCTGATCTACCCACCAAAGTAAGGCATGCATTGCTGCTTTCACTTCCAGTATCTGTGTCTCCTCGGGTCCTACATCTTGCAAGGAACGTATCTTGGTGGCAACTAGTAACTGGGCATCCAAGCTGTTATGACGAACTCACTCGAATGGTTGAGGCTATCTGGAAGGTGATTTTATTATTGTTATGTTTTACATCCTTTCATTCGTATCGTGTCTTTCGCTCCTTAGAGCTTTTATAGAGTTTCCTTGTGTAGTGGCAAAAAATACTCTTTCATCAGTAGTTCAGTTGGATACGGACTATCGCATATCATTGTTGTTGGTCTTATAATGTGGTTGTCTGTGTTTGCACCTCCTTGACAAATCTTGGAAGAAGAAAAAAAGTTGACTTGAAACCATAGAAGGCAGTGAAACAAATTAGATGTCACAATTATCATCGACAACTATAATTTTGAGAAGATATTCATTCAAATCTAGAAACGAACAATAACTAGAGATTTTAGCATTTTTTTATTATCAAATGAGTGGATTTTTTAAAGGATTTCATTTAGGTAAAGCAATAGCTTAAAGGTTCGTTGGTTTGAAGTAAAAGGATTGGGTGAATCGTGGGTCAATCACAACTCCCTCCATTCATCCAATTTTAATTACGTCACCTATTTTATAACCCACACCCACTCATATTAACCACCGACAAAATAATAAATGGGTCGATCACAAATTTTAAATTTTCTTATCTTATTAAAATTTCTTGTACATCGTACATGATATATATAGGTTTGCTGGGACAAATCCTAACTACATAACTACATTTTGGTACCTATTAACATGTTGATGGATGATAGGGTGAAATTGCATTCGTTCTGCCGTGCCCTCCCTACCAAACAAACATAGACACATGGTGATCATATATTTGATTGTTTACATAACAAACTCCACAACCCCCATTTCCTAGCTCCCATTTCTCACAATCATTCCTCACAAAGAAGCACCCTTCACCTTTTTACACATTTAAAATCAAACCCACACAAATTCCCCCATTCCTCCTCAGATTCCAACACCCTCTTCCTCTCACTATTCCAAAACCCACATCCATACTCTGCTTTTCCCCCTCTCTTCACATCTCCAGCCATGTCTCTCACCCGCATCTCTTCCTCTTCACCCCCATCATCAAAACTCTTCCACAAACCGATCCACCATCGAAACGACTCCGACGAGCTCGATGTATTCGAAGCCGCCAAGTACTTCTCCGGCTACAACGAACCCATTCCCCACCACTACACCACAAGCAAAAACAGAGCATCCTCTGTTTCCCGAAGAATGAGCCTAGACACGTCAATGTCAAACATAAACGACCACCAACAGCAAATCCTGAAGGAAAAGACCTTCGTCAACAGAAACGGGAAGCCATATAAGCAGCCGAGCTCGCCAGGAGGGAGGCTAGCGAGCTTTCTAAACACTCTGTTTCACCAAGCGGCAGGGGGTTCCAAGAAGAAGAACAAGAAGAAGCAGCCACCCAAATCCACGGAGGAAGAGGACGAGATCAGCCCATGTGGGCGGAAGAGGAGGAGTAGCATTAGCTATTTCTCCAGATCATTTGCTGATACCAAATCATGGTACTCTGCTACATCGTCGAAATCCGAGTTCAGGAGGAGTCCTCCGCCGCTCTGCACTCCGACCAAGGCCGGGTTCAGAACCGTGGTTTGCGGTTCGAATCAGAAACCGGTTTCGGGCAGGGATTCGTGGTGTTTGGATGAGAAGATGGCTAAGCTTAGCAGCAACGATGGGTTGTTGTTGAGTGGTTGTGAGGAATCGAAGGTTGATGATGATGGAGGTGAGAGTGATGCCAGTTCTGATTTGTTTGAGCTGCAGAACTATGATTTGGATGCTTACTCTAGTGGTCTGCCTGTTTATGAAACGACTGATGTGGGTAGCATCACAAGTGGGAAATAGTAACCACATGAAGGATATGTGAGGATTAGTTTAATTAATAAATCAATTAATCATTTTGGGAATCTGATCTTTGTACATTGTGGTTCTTTCTCCCTTCTAATTCCTCACAAATTTTGTTTCTTTGTTGTTTTTTTGTTGCTTTACTGTTTAGAAGCTATGATAAGAAAGAATTGAAATTATGGGATTCACCAATTTTGCTTGGCTGTTTGAGTTCTTTCACTTTTTGTCTCTCTTTGCTTTGGTCTCAAGCGGTTTGTCTAGTATGTAATTTTCCAAAGTTTGTGAAACTGTACTAGTCTGATCGGAAAAAAAAATTATCATCGAAATTTAAATTGGTAGGCGGATTATAACGATATGAAATGGTTATATCAAGGATAAACTACAATTTTAACACAAAATATTATACTATAAACTTTTTTCGGTACGATCTCCTATACAGTTTTATGATCCTTGTAATATTTCCTCGTAACCTTAATTGTATAATAATAATGAAGAAAATTTATGGGTAATTGAGTATACAATAAATACTAGCTAGTTGTTGTTTGCTTATATTTTGAATCCTCAGCATTTATAAGATACACCTCCATTTCTTAAAAAAAAAAAAAGATATACCTCCATGAAATCCTTATGATTTTATGTATAAATTTATAATACAAGTGCTTGAATTAGTTATAGATTTTTTACGTATTATTATTATATTTGTCCAATTATAGTAATTAAGATTTATATATATTTTCTATCAAAATTTATACATTCTGCGGTGATCATACTCATGAAAACTTCCCCATTGGATTGGGTTCGCCTTCGCTTAGATTGTGGCCATGATTGAAGTTCTTCTTTAATAAAGGTGATTTGAGAGGAACTGTAAAATTGGAAACACAGCATCATTATCAGTATGGGGCACATTCATCGTTTTGCTTCTTTTTGACTTGGGGATGCACCAATTAATGATTAATAGTATGCAGGGCTCAATAATTACGATACCTGTTGGCTCAATCCACAAAGCAAAAGTGAAAAATCGAAACACATGATACAAGATTTACGACCTTATCTTGTTCAATGTGTGACAAGACTATTTCGCGAAAGTGTGAACTTTCAGCTATAAGGTTTCTTATTTTATGTTGTCGAAAACTAAAACTCGGCTACAATGGTTGCCAAGCTTTATATCAACAAGATGGAAAACTCTAAAGCTCTCAATAAGTAACGTGGGAATGGATAAATTATAAAATAGTATACGAGAATAAACAAAAGCAACTAATTATGTCCCTCTATATGCGTCCTCAAGCCCTCTATAGGCGTCCTCAAGCGAGGGAATGTATGTCAAGTTAGCTGATTTTGGAAATAAAGAAGATGATCAAACTGGTTAGCCCCGAGTCCTTTGGAAAAGATATCAGTTGGCTAATCCGAAGTAGAAATCTTGAGGGGAGCAACTTCCCCAGTCTGAACATGCTCGTGAACAAAATGACAATCCATCTCAACGTGTTTAGTACGTTCATGGAAGACATGATTAACTGCAATGTGGAGAGCATCTTGATTGTCACAGAAGATAAGAGTTGCCTAGTTAGACTGCAAACTAAGATCCTAGAGCCAGTCAGTGAAGCCAGAAAATTTCACGAACGGTACTAGTCATGGCTTGATACTTAGCTTCAACAATACTATGCTTCTTAGTTTCCCAAAGCGTGATGAAGTAGCTAGTAGCTGAATGATGAGTTGTCGGACACTCGCCCTAATCAGCGTGACAATAGGTAGTTAAATTAATGAAACTTTTTGTAGGTAAGTAGAGGGTACAACAGGTGACGACTTGAGGTATCAAAGAATTCGAGTAGTAACATCAACGCGTGCTTGTGTTGGTGAATGTGCAACTTGATGAGAATATTCACATCATAGGCGATGTCTAGGCTAGTGACTGTGAGATAGAGTTCCCAACTAGTGAGTAGATGTAAGAGGCATGATCCGTAACTTTAGTCGAAGATAAGCGACCCAGCTGATGGTTCTTCTCAATAGGGGTGGCATAGAGGCATGAGGCTTCAAGACCTAATTCAACCAAAATTCCTAAGACATACTTACGTTGGTTCAGAATGATTCCCTGACTAGAACGAGCCACCTCAACAGAAAGAATGTACTTCAAATCCTCCAAATCTTTGATGGTGAAATGATGACGAAGAAAATTTTTCACACGTTGGATAAAGTTATATCATTCCAAGCCAAAATAACGCCTTCCACACAAATAATAGCCACAACAAAAGCCTTGTCACATCAAATGATCAGAATGTCTCTGTTGAAAATGAAGTTCATGTACAACATTTAGTGAACAAATGATACCAATTTTGAGGGGCTTGATGCGTGGAGACCATACAAGGATTTAGGGAGACGACAAACCCGACTATCTCTCGAACATGCAAAACCCTAAGGAACTTTCATATATACTTGTTCATCTAAGTCTCCATGAAGAAAGACAGTATTCACATCTAATTGGTGGATGATCCACCCACGAGTAACAACCACGAAAATTGGACAACGTACAATAACGAGCTTGGCAATTTGAGTGAAGGTATAACGACAATGCCTTATATATGAGTTAAGGCCTTTGCTCCTATATGAGCCTTGTACCATTCAATTGTTTTGAACCCCTGTATTTGATTAGGGGAGGCGAGTTCTAGTATGTAATTAGGGTTTGTTAATTGAATGTGAACCTAGTCCTGATTTCTATATATCTATGCTTGTTTGATCTTTAATCTTGTCAATTTCTTGTCTCATTAAAGGTGGCTATTGAATTGTTGGTTGAGGTGACCATCCCCTTAGTTTGGGATTAAAATATAGAAGTGTGGTTGCAAGTCATGAACATTGCAACAACCGCTAGTCCTATAGACTTCTTGCTACTTAAAAGATTGGCAAATCGTGTTAGGTCTTGCATCAATCACATGCTCATTAGACTACTAGAATTATTCGATCCTAAGCAATTATCTCATCTTTAGCGACCGACCTCCCTACTAGTTAGTTGGTTTTGCTTTCTTTCTTAGTTAGGTTAGCTAGTTCGTAAATCAACATTTTCTGTTTGATTAAATATGTAGTTTAAAGTGAAGCAATAGTAAACCTAAGTTGCTCGTGGGAATATGGCATCAACGGTCTCCTCTATACTACTTCGCCAGTTCGAATCATACTTCGCTAGAGTCGGAGCCATTTTGATATTTTTTGGAGATGACTCACGAAATAGTTCTGTCTTGGTTTGGCTAGTGGTTGACAAAATGTCTTGTTAGCACCGTAGCCATATGAGGACAAATCAAACTTGATAATATAGCATGGTCACAATTTAATTCATGATTGGTTGTCTACTAGTTAGAGGTGTGGTCAAATCATATAAACATCTACACATTCAATCTTCCATGAGACAGTTTAATCCAAGATCAAACAACCTTCTGCTAATGTTACACAGGCTGCCGACAAGGTTGCAACTTGCAATCATGGCTATTTGAGAGGCTGATCTCATTGAGATAGGTATGAACTACTCATCCAATTAGCTTACTAGTCCAATTATGTATCTCTCTCCCATTAGAATAGCACCACTTCGACTGAATCAAAATGTATGGTTTAAAACACTTCATTGACTGGTAAGATGCTCGTGCCATGCCTTGTCGAGTTCGGATGGAGAATGTTCAATCTCTCCCGTCATGAACAGAAACCGATTTGGAAGCTTAGAGACACGAACCCGGGCAATGGGCGGTTGGGTGGATTTTAGTTTAAAATTGACCCACCCGCTTACTAGCGAGTTGGAATATATGTGACCCGCAATACACCCATATACTTATGCGGGTTGGGTTGGGTGGGTGGCGGATGGGTGCGGTTGGATCGCGGGTTAACTCGTAAAAGCAATTCTCCAATTAGCCATTAGGAAAATCGACTAAGATTTATAATAAGTTCAAAGCAAATTAGTAAGATTGTATCAATAATTTGTGATTTTGATGCAATTAATAATTTACCATTTGTATCCCAATATTTAATGGATATTAACAATAATTTGCATACCAATGTCCAATGGATATTGCACAACACAATAACCAATAATAGTAGTCAAAACTATTCTTTATTCTCCACCTTTTGAAGTATATGGTTAGACTATAGAGCAATTCGAAAATATGATGAATATTCTATACTATAAAAAACAACATTTTTCCATGTAAAAATAGGACGCGAGTCATACGGGTGACCCGCAATCCATCCACCATCCACCCACATAAGTGCTGGTGGGAGATTTAATAATCCGTAATCCACCCGCATCAATCACCCACTGTATGCGGGTCGAGTTATATGCGGGTGGATCAATATCAATCCGCGGATTAACCACCCACGTACCCACCCCTAGTATACCAGTTTAGCCACCACAAGTTAAATGCTTCTAATGGAACAGTGTTCGGCAAAACCAAGAGTATAGCAATCTTCGGCGCTTCTCAATGTGTTTGTAAAACAATACCGTACCGATGGTCCTATCGAGAAAATCTCTTATCATAGTCAAAATCGATAGATGGATTTTAACAATATGTAACGATTATACTATGATTTCAACATAAAAAAACTCTATTGCTGACTTTTCCGATACAAAACAATTTTATCGTCGCTGATCTCATTTCATACACGTGTCCATCCTTTAGTAACAACCATTCGATTCGAGATCATCAAATTGAACTTATGATCCAAAAGGAGTGGATAGTGGCTCCTGTTTTGGCTAGCATCCACTACTTTAAGGCCATAGGTCCTTTATAGGAGGCTGCAAATTGGAACAGACCCGGCCGGCACACTGCAACGTCTCAGACGATCTTTTTGTCCCTGTAGGATAAGGACACGAACCTGAAAATTCGTTGCACCGGAAAATAAGGAATATGTTTCAATTGCTTATCCATTTTCAGGGGGCGCATTACATGGCCTGTTGCGGTCGTGGATTGATTGATGCAAATTTATTAGGAAAAGTGAAGATATGGCCCGTATAGTATAGTGTAGAATGAGCTTATCCAAATTACAGACTTTTGGGAGGATAGATTTTGCAAGATTTTCGATTTTGTTATGTTTCAGTACGAAATCATTCGATACCTAGAGTTAAAACAAGATTTGATGGTCTACACTACAAGAAAATAACGTGGGAAATTAGGAGTTTGGAGTCTTAAGTAGGGATGGCAATTTCGACCTTACTCGTCCTACCCGACTTGTTTGACCTGTTTTGGGACAGACATGGTTAATGTCCTCGACTTGACCTGCCCTGACCTAGCTCATTGTCAACCCATTATTGTCTAAATTGTATATACTATTACACAAATTAATTAGTATTTTACTTTTATTGCATCATATTTTAGCTATAATAGAGTTTTAAATCGACGATAACCTCAATATCTTGAAAATTTAACTAAATTTATCATGCTATAGTTTATTTAACAAATTTTCAATGAAAAAAAAATATATTTATCAAGTATTCTACATTTACAGTACATAATCGTTTGAGTCGACCTGCCTTGATCCGCACCCCATGAAAAAATATCTGACCTAGACCCAACATGTTACAGGGCGGGTGTGCTATCAAATATCTATACCCATACCCGTCCCATACCCATGCGGGGAAGGTTTTGCAAACCCATCCCCATACCCGCGGATTTCGGGTACCCATGGGTAATACCCGCCCCGTACATCCGACATTATAATACCTAAAATTTTACATGTACATTCTCAATTATAACATTAAACGCACCTACTATCGTGAAGTTGACAAAAAGACTATCATTCTTTATACGATTCAAAGCATCTTATCCTAAACAATCAATTAATCCATAAGATAGAATACAATATAATGTAATACAAATCATTCTTCTCTAACTCTGATACATCTACTAACTAATAACAAACTAACATAATCTTGTAAACACGAGGGGAAAAGTGAAAGAGCGAAGGAAGAATTGACGAAAAGGAATTATGTTTTGATTTGGGTGGTCACTCATGCATTTCTAATATTTATTTTCTTGAGGTACCCTCACTATCATTCATATATCACAATTTTATTCATATATTTGTTATATGTGAAGAAATGTTCTTAGTGGGGCGGGTATGGGTATGAGGCGGGGGAGGCTAAAACCATACCCGCCCCATACCCATCAAAAGTTCTGCGGGTTTTACCCAATCAATGCGGGGATTCCCCACGTTGACTGGGTCGGGGACGGTCGGATACATGCGGCCATGGGTTTGATTGCCATCCCTAATTTATACAAAATGAGTAAATGACATCTATTATGATTCTTACAGTTTTTTTAACTAAATAGTCTGAGTATAATTTCTAGTTTTTTAGTTATAATTTTCTTGGTGTCAATTTATAAATTTTAAACACATTGGCATAGATTGTATTTTGAAAATGAGAAATAATGAGATTATATTAAAAATGTATGTTTCGTAAACCTTTGGTTAGGCATTAAATTGTCTTCCATGTTTTGTACCATCTTTGATGCAAATGACCCCAAATAACATCCCTAAGTTTCACTTTAGTTTTCCAATAACTATATAAAAATTGACTATGTACATATTTTATTGGGAGTTTAAGGATGATAATTTTGTTTTAAATGCATAATTTCTAAACAGGCTGAGATGATGTTGTCGACTAAAATGAAATAGATATCTAACTTGTAATATAGTTAAAATGTTTAATGAATTATAGAATAATACTTAATTAGTACTCCTTTGTGTATCATAGACTTCTTAACATACATTATGGCCATAGTGAAGAAAGTTTTTGCCACGTAGCACAAAGAAAGCTCCACAATTTTCCATGCCATTTACCATTTTAAGTTATTAATTACATTAAAATAAAACTAAATAAACATGTGTATCAATCATCATGACCACGATTTGAACCTATGACATACGAGCTCAAACTATACGATTTAAACATGTAGATCAATCATCATAACTAAGATTTAATCATACACTCTAGAAGCTCAAACTATAATCATTTAAGTTGTTTAACCAATAGAATAAAATCCCTTTTATAGAGTTAATCACAACAAGATTAATACTCATTTTATAAAAAATGGTACAACACATAAAATTATATTTTTATTTAATGGTTGACTTCTGTACATTAGACAATAAAAAATATCAAGATAAAAATTTTGTATTCTATTTTTCAGAAATAATCGAAATCATTAACAACAAAAAATAACCTATTTTAATTTTAATTTTATAATATGTTTGATAATATTTATAATTTTTAAAAAATAATTAAAAAATATGAAAAGCATGAATTTAGTTAGTACCCAATTATTAAAAAATAAAAAATAAAAAGCAAAGAATAACCTTCTTTCGTACTCTAGAACATGAAAAATTTAATATTTTTTTTTTGTACGAACTACTATAAATATGTGAACCAATGCAGTTATGTTGCAATTTGTAAGAAAAAAGCTACTATAAATATATGAGCTAGTACACTCTTATCGCGTTGTACTAGAAAAATATCAATTTTTTCGTGTTCTTACTAGATTATTAAGAGATAATAATTAAAGTAAAAAATGATGGTTTGCCAAGTCAAATAGTCATAATAACTTATTCATTTGCGATGTTCCTATATTTTAAGATTAATGAAATATATCAACATAATTCAATTCAGTGATACACAACAATTTCATGTGTTTAAGAATATCACCGGACACCAATGGTCACCAAATTTTTTGTATCTTTTTCAAAATTGAATTATGGTTATATGACTTAAATATGTCCGAGCTCAATAAAAAAATTTTGAGCCAGTTATTACCAGTTTATACCATATGGTATTGACTGATATTAAATAACAGCATACCATATGGTATGAAAAATACCACCCCATACCAGGGTGGTATAGTATGGTATGGAGTTGGTAACGAGAGGTATTACCCTAAATATTTTCACCCAAAATTTTTTGAAATCCAATAGATCATGATTGAATCGTTCTTTCTGTGCAAAAATTTATGAGAACAACTAAAAAATGAAGGAGATGTCATATGGTATGGAGTTGGTAACGAGAGGTATGAAATAAAATTCTCAAAAAATATTGAAAATGGATCACATTTTGTAGAGCACAACGAACTCGTTAGTATTCATAGCCAAAACGGTCAAAATCGCGATTTTACGTTTTGACGCGATTCTACGTTGAGACGTTTCGGTGACCTAGAAGCGTAAACGTACGCTTCTAAACTTTAAAGCGTAGATTTTGACTACATTTGTAAGTGAATAGTATACTTTATCGTAGAAGTGTTTTGATAATCTAGAAGTGTCACTACGGGAAAAAGCACCTCTTGCAACACTATTTGAAACTGTTGCGTTAAATATATAACATCAACACATTTTTATGGGGGTGCGTATTGAGTAGTTTACGCAACTCAAATTAATTAAATGTTGTGTTTATTCTAATATACGCAACACATATATCACAAATAAATTTTATGTATAGTTTATGCAACATTTTTTTTAACTTGTGTTGCAAAAAATGTCAATTGCTCGTTTAAAGTAAATTAATAAGTTAAATAAAAAGTGATAAACCCAAATATTGGGTAACAAGGAAACAAATTATTGGGGAGCAGAAAAGATTTGGGAAAATGACACAAATATTGTTTTTTTTTTAATTTACCACCAATATGGCGGATTAAGAAGTATTTACAGAGATATTGTGTTTTTAGAGAAGGCTGGGGCGGCCACACCAGAGACTCAGGCGGGGACGCTGCTTACACAGCTCTGGGCGCTGGCACCCAAGTCTCGAGCGCCGCCGCCTCAGCCTCACCTCTTTTAAATGCCCCTCGGGCTCGGCCCCCTCCCACCCTTATCTCTTTCCGACCACACACCTTCCCACCCTTATCTCTTCCCTCCTCCACACCCTCTCCTCCTCTTCCTTCTTCTTCCCGACCACACACTCCTCTCCTCACCCTCAACCCCCCCCTGAACCAGAGAAGCTAGCGGAGGAGTCGCTTCGCCCTAGAGTAAGGCGCCGCCGCCGGGGAGTCGAGCGCCGCCGCCGCAGTAAGGAGCGCCGCCGCTGGGAAGTGGAGCACCGCCGCCGCAGTGAGGAGCGCCGCCACCGCCGCAAGGAGAGCCGCCACTGGAATCTGAAGCGCCGCCGCTTACTGGTGAAGCGCCGCCGCCGCTGCCGACAGAAGATGTCCTCTGTCGTGGCGGCCGTTTGCGCGGTGAGACTCTCGTCGGCGGCTTGATTTTTTTTTTTTAATGTTTTTTGTTTTTTTTAATGTTTTGTTGCTTTGTTTTTGCAGTTCCTAGGCTTATTGATCCTTATTCGATGAGATTACCGCCGACGACAATTGATCCAGGTCCGGTCAATCCGACACTTCTTTGGGGACATGGCCAACATCGTATCGACTCTGTTTGGACAAACGAGGTAAGTATTTGATAATTATTCATGTAAAGTTAATTAGCTAATTAGATTATTTTAGTTGGTGAACTGAACTGTACTGTTAGAGAATAGGATTACGTATCAAATTTTTTGAAATTAGTATAATTTGAAATTAGATTAGATAGATTAGAATTTATTAGGTGAAATTAGAATTATTACGAATGAAGATGAATTAATATAAGTTTTGTGCACTATAGGCTGGTGATCGATCTTACCATGTTCGAGGTACGACCATTTTAGTACCTTACCTTGAGCTTTATCGGCCATATCTCGAAGCTGCAGGCTTGTTAAGTGTCGTGCCCCTAGTCCCTATGAACCCCAATGCGAGTTTGATTACTGCGCTCGTAGAGCGGTGGCGACCCGAGACGTCGACCTTCCATCTACCGTGTGGTGAGATCACGATCACGTTAGAGGACGTTGTTACACTGTCCGGTCTGGCGATCGAGGGTGATGCCGTCGTAGTTGATATACATGATGAGGAGTGGTCGGCGATCTGTTTGAGACTGTTAGGATGGGTTCCAGTTGATCTTGTAGGCGGTGTCGCGGTTGTTAGGATCGTTTGGCTGAGGGTTGAATTCAGTCATCTGCCGGAAGATGCATCACAGGAGGTTATAGAGCAGTTTGCACGAGCTTATGCTCTATCTCTGATTGGAGGTGTACTTTTCCCGGATCGGTCTGGATCTACTGTGCACCTACAGTACCTACTTCTGATTGAGGATTGGCAGAGAGCTGGACAGTTCGCCTGGGGAGCTGCTGTTTTATCCTACTTGTACCGTGAGATGGGTAGGTCGACTTTGCACATTACGCATACGGCACTTCTCTAGCCGGTGACCTTAGTGGATGGGTCACCCTAGTGCAGTTCTGGGCGTGGGAGCGATTCCCACATCTGGCACCTCGAGATTCAGAGACGAGGGCACAGGCAACCGAGGATGCATCCCCACGTGGTCTTCGATGGCTTTCGGCCAACAGTCGTCAGTATGGTGACCAGCTATTCCAGTACAAGCTGTGGTTTGACGCGATGGATACCGTGGTGGTTAGTATATAACATTCCATTTTATAGAATAGCTTTCATTTGTTTTATTTTTTCAGATTTAGGGATAATAACGTTAATTTTTTTTTATTAGTGGCAACCTTACCGTGAGAGAGCACTTCATCTCAGAGGTAGTGTGATACAGTCTGAGACATTTCGAGCAGTAGTGCCACTTATCTGCTTTTCATCGGTGATGTGGCATCATCCAGACCGTGTGCTCCGACAGTTTGGCATGAGGCAGCATGAGCCTCATCCGGCACATCCTGAGGCCGAGGTTAGATTTTTTCTGCGCCAGGCTACTCGTGGGCCATCGCGTGGGCAGGAGTTGCTACACGCTTCCAGAGAGTCGCTTGCTTTCTGGAACCGTCGACACGAGTTTGTAGCGACAGCTCCATACACTGATGAGGAGTTAGCCTACCACTCGGAGCACCTGGAGTGGTATAGAGATGTCACCAGACGTTCCGGCACACGGAGAGGCGCTGTAGCAGAGGCATTGGTTAGTTATTTGATTTGTTTGCTTAATTTGTTGTTAACTGTGTGAAATATCTGACATTTTATTGGTGTTTTTTAGTACGACACTATCGAGCATGCTGAGGTGAGTTTGCGTGACGGTGTACGGGCTGGAGGGCTGACCCCCGACCAGTGTGAGGACTTGGCCAACCTTATGGCATCTGGGGTTGCTCCTCTAGGGTTTGAGCAGCGTAGATACCCTGATCTCACAGTACCTGTACAGCCCCATTATGAGGAGCCCGTCATGACTGCTTGGCCAGAGCGCACTGATCCGACATCAGGCTGGGTCGTCCCAGAGCCACGGTTCAGACAGGAGCATAGGCCACGTAGGCAGCGACATGAGCATCGTGATGTACCTAACCCATTCCGGGTTTCAGATCGACAGCGAGCACAGCCCATCCGACCTACATCGAGGAGCTTCCAGTTTAATCCGCTTCGGTCACAGTTTCAGTCTGATCCTTCCTCGAGCTTTCAGCCGCCGCGACTGCAGCAGTTTCAGTCAGATCCTTCCTCGAGCTTTCAGCCGCCGCGACGGCAGCAGTTTCAGTCAGGTCCGTCTTCGAGCTTCTATCAGCAGAGGATAGCTTCCATACACCGCAGCATACTATGATGGGAGGCGGAAACATGGCTTCTGGTGGTGATACTAGAGCGGCCTCGACTCCCAACCTGTGGGATAGCCTTGAGGGTGATCCAGTTTTTCAGGAGACGATGTGGAATTATGAGCAGCATCTTCAGTCTCAGCATCATGGTGGCGGTGAGCCTGAGGAGCATTTTCAGTCTCAGCAGGATGATATGTTCGGTACACAGGATCAGGATGGTGGTGTCGAGGAAGATTAGCCCCAGGAGTATGATGGTCGACCTCTTCGTAACAGGGTGCCTGCGAGGTGTGGTACTGGAGGCCATCTAGTGATGGAGCATGGTGGTCGTCGTGGCGGTCGTCGTGGTGGTCGTCAGTGAGACTATTATGTAGTTTGCTTACTTTTGGATTGTTATTATGTACTTCCTTGAGACTATTATGTGTGGACTATTATGTGTGTGGACTATTATGTGTGGACTATTATGTTTGGACTATCTTTTATGTTATTATTTTATTAACGATAAAAACCATAACAACTACATACCAAACTACAACAACTTCAAACAACAACTTCCACAGGATTATTCGAAGGAAATACAACAACAACATACCAAACTACAACAACTTCAAACAACAACTTCTACAGGATTATTCGAAGGAAATACAACAACTACTACATTTGAACAAACTTCTCAGCCACTTCTATTACCTCTACTTCCTCTTCTACCACCTCTCGCACTTGGTTGGCCACCACTCCCTCTTCGGTTGCTCCCACTCCCACTAGCTTGGCCACCGCAGGTTGATGCATTATGTCCCGCTTGGTTACAGTTGCTACACACTTGGTGTGATGCACCCTCCCTTGGCCAATCCATCTCGTTGTGAATCCTTGTAACTCGTGGCCTCCCCGGCTTCCTAATCATGTGCACATTAGGATGGAGAGTAGGACCATTATTCTTCTTCCAACCCTTAGGTTCACCAAGCGGTGCGAAACTTGTCCCACAACAAGCCAGCATTGTTTCCAGCTTGTAGACATTGTTTACAAACCTATACGCATTTGCCCCCATTCGGTTGCAAGCTGCAATGGCATGAGAGCAAGGAATTTTATTTCCTTGAAATTTACCACAGGTGCAAAATCCCTCCCGGTTTTGTTCGTCAAAGTGCACTGTGAGTTTGTTTGACCCCGTCATGTTGAAATTGTTGGGGGGAGTCTGAACTACATAGATGCCTTGACTCCGATCAAGAGCTGTCACAGAATGTCCAACTGCCTTTTGTGACCAGTACTTCATCATCTCTTCGCACTTGATGGAGTACTGTGAAGGACCACTTCTAATTTCTGCTCATGTCTCCAACCTGTACTTATCGAATTTCTCCACCAATCGCCAATAGGTATGTTGGACAAGAGAAGCTATAGGAAGTGCACGAATACCTTTGAAAACACCATTGATGCTTTCTGCCATGTTGGATGTCAGCATAGACCAACGACGCCCACCGTTGTAGTTATCATGTGCTAAACTCCAACGAATCTGATGTTGGTCCATCCAGTTATCAAATGAAATATTTCTATCACTGGCCACCTTCTTAAATTTCTCAACTTGACGATCGAACTTCTCCAACCGTTTTTCTCCAGCTAACAAAATAAACAACCACACGGGTTAGATAAATTCATGACAAAATTACATGAAAATAAATAACATAATTAAATGAAGAAGGCTTACCGACTCGAAATAGTTGCTTATACATAATTCTGCTTTTAGTCTTCCTTTGCAAATTGCTTGCATAGTGTCGCATGCACTACCTCCACTCCCAACCTCTTCCGATGTTATTCATGGCTTCATAGAGTCCTGCATGTCTATCTGAGATGATGCATACATCATTTCGATCAGTCAAACCCTGAACGTTCCTTATGAACCATGGCCAACTCTCAGTATTCTCGCTCTCCACTATGGCAAATGCAATTGGAAAAATCTTCTTCAGACCATCAAATGAGCTCGCCATGAGTAGCACTCCTTTATACTTTCCAGTAAGAAATGTTCCATCAACAACCATGACGCCTGGACAATTCTTGAATCCATCTATACAAGGTCCATAAGCCCAGAATACTCGCTGATAAATCGAATGACCTGGTTGAGACGAAGGAACTCTTACCCAATCAATCACCAATGTTGGCTTTTTCTCTTGACTACCCGCAAGAATGTTTGCAAAAAATCGTAGGATTCTTCCCAATTTCCATGCAACTTCTCCAATGCTCTTTGTTTCCCATACCAAGCCTTCTTGTAAGTAACTTGCATATTAAACTTATCTTTCAACTCGGCTTGCACAGTTAGAGCACTCAGATTTGGTTGGACACGTACCAAATGTTTGACGGCCTTAGATATCATGTCGACATCAAGATGGCGATGATCCGTCGGTTGAGTCGTACTGCTACAAGAATGCACCAACTCAGCCTTTCTCACAGTCCATTCGCCTCCAACATCTCGACATCCAAACCGCACCATCCAAGGACAATTGTCATCCTTGTGCCTCAAGCATCTGACCTTCCAGATTGAAGGTGACGACTCCACCACGCCATATTGAAAGTTGCGTTGTAGTGCGTGGTGTTTAATCGCCATCTGTGCAGCTTGTTTCGAGTGAAATATCTGCCCCTTGTAGAATTCTCCTTCAAAACTATCAACAATAGGCATTGGAATTACGCCATATGAATCAACAAGTGAGTATTCTTCGTCCTCTTCATTACCCTGCAAGTAAAAATATGGAGGATAATTAGGCTGCTCTCCTTCCCCCTCCTCCTCCTCCTCCTCCTTCCCCTCCTCCTCATCTTCCTCCTCTCCGTCATCACCGTCATCATAGTCATGATCGGATGGCACGCTCCATGTATCATCTTCTTCCTCTCCACCCTGATCCTTACCGAGCTCAACATGTATCTCAGCACCCAAACAATAAGGATTTTGTGCCATAAAATTCCAAAGCACATTCAAGCTATCATCATCCACAATAGGCATTGCATAATGAAATAAAACACCATTCTGCCATTCTGGAAGACGGTAAGTGAAACCTCTGATCACATCACTATCTTGTACTGCTTCGTCTCTACGCCGTATTCTCGGAATTAGATTCTCACAAAGATAATGATATGTGACCCTGGATGGAATCGTCATATGAAAACTACTACCACCAACGAATTTGACGCCCAAATTATCCTCTATTTTCTCCGATTTCCACCGAACGACTAGTACAAATCTTCTAAAATCACTACAAAAAAACAAACTCACTAATTAAAACTAAACACAATCATAATAGCATTTGAATAATATAATTACAAAAATAAATGTGTCTTACCTATTAGCCATTTTTGCAGCAGCAACCAGAGCTCTCTCCTTTGTCTTGGACGATTTTTTTGTGGTGTGAAACAGAAATGAATTGGCTGGTGGTTTATATAGGGGGTGGCCAAATAAGCCAGCGGTGGCACCTTAGTCTCGGGCACCGCCGCCTGGGACAATTTCCCACCTAACTCGCTGATGTCTCAGGCGGTGCCACCTGAGTCTTGGGCGCCGCCGCTGTCATCTTAATAAACCGACCCAAAATGTCATCCACAGCGGCGGCGCCTGAGTCCCAGGTGTTCTCGCCGTTTTTTGTCTCCAAAACACAATATCTGTGTAAATACTTTTTAATCCGTCATATTGGTGGTAAATTAAAAAAAACAATATTTGTGTCATTGTCCCAAAAGATCTTCAGTGATTTCTTTTTCCTCCTCTCTTAATTAGCTAATAATTAATTTGTTTCCTTATCTCATATTATACAAAAATCCTTCTTATAATCCACCACCATCACGAAACCCCAATAAGCCTCTAAGTACTAACCACTTCTCTTTTGCAGGCGCCTACCAATCTCTCAGGGCTCTCCTCAAACTAATGGGATGCAACCTCTGTTTCTCCTCTTGTGTGACTGCTGCCTGCTGGAGTACGTATATACATATATGATGCTTAACAGTTTTCTTTTCTCTTATTTTTAAAAGTTTAAGTATTTCAAGATCTATAATATTTCGGTGTTGAGCTTTTATAGCTATGATGACCACTAGTTACGACGCATACATAAGAAGAGTAACAAATAGATACAGATGATCAAGTCTCGTGATGATGACTATAGTTCAGATAGGACACATATGACGGCTTAAGTACGTAATGAAATGAATTTTCCTTCGAACAATCTTCTGAAACTGATTTAGAGTCTCCAAAACTTACGTATCTTGCTAGTTTGTTTTGCTTTTGTTTGGTGGTAATCATTAATATTGCCTTTGATTGTCCTGTTCTTCTACTTTTCTTCATTTTTATGTAATTTTCTAGCTAGCTCAGATTAGGATTTCCCAATAGCAATAGAGTTCAACATATTTAATGATTGCTGCAATTAGTTTTTACAAAGTAATCTTCTGATCCAAGACCTAGTCATTACAGAGGGGATTATCATAACCAAATTAGAGGAAGGTAACAGAAAGGCTCTTGATTAGTTTTTGTAGTCTTATAATAAGAAGACCTCCTCAGTTGAGATGAGTTTGAGAAGCTATGGATAAGCAAATATGTTCCTTAATAAAGGTATATTCATATTTACAATTTTTCTGTTTCTTAGTTATTATATATATATATATATGAATTATTTTACATATCTGATACTCTTGAGCTTCTTTGTATATAGAAAAATTCAAGAGCATGAGGAGCCTAAAATTCATGTGTTTCATATTGATGAAACTT